CCCACCCCGTTAATCCTTACAACGAGACTATCCATACTCTCAGACCTTACCTCTTACTTAACTCATACTCTCGGATCTAATTCATGCTCTCGGATCAATAATTGTGCCCATTCCATACTCTCGGATTAGGGACAAGTGTTTATGTGTAAATCCATTCTCTCGGATTAACGACGAATGACTATGTCCTATCCATACTCCTGGACTGAGGACGACTGACTATGTCTTAATCCATACTCGCGAACTAAGGACAACTGACTATGTCTTAATCCATACTCTCGGATTAATGATAGTTGATTATGTCCAATCCATACTCACGGACTAGGGACAATGACTATGTCTAATCCATGCTCCTGGATCAATGACATATACTAATGTTTTATTCTCTGAGTATAACTCACTCGTACTCGTAAGAAAATACTACCAAATGTTCTTCATAATTAATTTAGGTTTACTCTATATCCTAAATCATCATATATAATCAGGTATGTTCTTTAACACGTATTTCAGGCAACATCAATTAACTCGCACATAAACATATAATTAATACTTCAATCAATACTTGTATTAAATCATGTTCATGAAAGGGACTATGCATTCACTTGATAAGGTGGTGAGTTAGTACTTGGACAACGCTCGTTTACTTTAAAATAATTTCTTTCGACGAAACCTAGTATTATTACCACTAGATTTTAGTATAATATTTACCGTGACTAATTATTAGTCTTATTATTATTATTATATAAGCGTTTAAACAATACTTTTCCAACCACTATGTACAGACAGGGGGTCAGACATAAAACACCGGAGGGCATGACCATTTTGGCATATAGCACTTCTGAAATCCAATAATCGTATACGACCCTTTAAACCAGATTCTCCGTACCGCGAGTAGTTACAAAGATATTATAACGACACTTATATAAGTTATAATAATAGCTCAAATATTTATTATAAGTTCATAATAACAATACTAATTTTAAATATAAGCTAATTTAAAATATGGTAAGCATAACTTACTTACAATGGGGTTTGAGCTAGGAGTCGGGTTCTGCAGGGGCAGAACTTCGTCGTTGAATCTTTCTAAGAAAGATTCGTGCAACGCTTCAGCGCTCACCTTACTATATTAAAACTACAGAAAGAGAAGTTGGATCACGAGGGACCGAAATATTCGGGGGATAAGAAGAGAAAGACTCTTGAATCAAGAGAATGGTGCAAGAAATATGAGAGCCCAAACCTCTTATTTATAGTAATTGAATTTACAAAAACTATCATCCATAATTACTTAATGACCTTATAGTTATATAAACGACTAAACATCCCATCATAATACTATTTTAAATAGATTTAACGATATTTGTACTAAACTAATGTTTAAAGCACTCAAGAATAGTCTTATAATAACCACATCGTCACCTTTCTAATCATATATACATTTGTATATATATGTGTACGTATATATGATTTATACTTTATTTTAATACGTAAATATGTTATTATAATTTATAACTCGTTCATACGAACTCTATTTTTGACGTTCTTTATATCCATGCGTTGGTATTTACGAGTACTACAACTTTCATTTAGACGCCGTCAGCTAATTCTCATTCTATCTCAAAATTACAAAACTGTATTGAATTTATCGCGCTCGAAGAGTAGGGACCAAGCTTCGTCCATATTTTTCGCATACGAACTCCGTTTTCAACTGTCTTTTTATCGTTTAACTCCTATTAACAATATCTTCATTTCTCATTTAGATTAGTTTGGTTAAAAATCGACCAATCTAAAATTCGAATTTTCGGTTGTGCACTGTTATGCTAAATCTTAGAAAAATCATAACTTCTTTATATGAAGTCAGATTTGAGCGTTCTTTTTATGCACGCTCTCAGTTTAACATATTCAACGACTTTTGTTTAGATTACTAAGGCTAAAAAGCCCTCTATCGTAAATTCATTATTTACGTCTCCCGGTGTCGTGCCGATTTTGCCGAAAAATTTCGACGCCTCATAATTTCTTCGTTATAACTCGGATTCCTGCGTTCTTTATATGTATGGAACCCTTGAGATATATATTCTACAACTTGGTTAAGATTAATCTTTCTAAATAATCTTCCATCAAAAACTCATTTTTGATGCTTATTGTCTCTAAATTGACTAGCTCGGATCTACGGGCGTTACATTCGCCTCCCAAATTAAAACTGCAAGCTCCGTCACTACATCCAACCCAACCAAATCATGAAAAGTACATAACCATTTGAACTTGTGTAATATAACGGGCTTGCAAATAGTTTTTTTTTTTTTCAACGATTTTAGATGGATGGTAAATATTTTCATTTAGTTGATTTTGATTCTTTAAAAAATATTATATTCCATTGATGGTGAGTGATGAATTTTTATAATATGAAATAACGTTTTAGAAAATAAAATGGAGAAGGCAAAAAAAAAAGTTAACTATAAAATTTATAATATTCAATAATTTACCTAATATATACCTTAGTAATTTTTTAAATATATTTTTAATAATATTATTAAAATAAGTTTTATAATAAAATATGTAACTTTTTCAAAAAAATAGTTACACCCTTTTTGGTCTTTGATACTTAATGTTCAATTATAGATTACTCGTTACGCAGAATACATGTATGTGTATGCATTCGTCACAAATCAAGTGTCTCAATATCTTTATAAAGACAATATTGAAACAAAGTAAATAATTAAATAAAATAAAAGTTTTGTATAGATCCAATAAAAATATGATGTTTAATAATTTTAAAAATTAATAACAAAATTCATGTCAATCCAAAACAAATACTGCTAATTTTCTAATATGTTTGTATATTTGTTCTATACAATTTCTATATAATCAACGTTTTAGCATATAATTAAACTTTAGTAAGCATCATTCTACCATTCTTCTATCGAATAACAAATGTTAATATATTTTTATACATATTGTAATAATTTAGTTGTAGGTGAGATTTTTTTTCTTTTTCAATGTGCATGTGCTAGGTGAAAAAATG